ATAAAATCTGTACTATTGATTTTTACTATAATACCTCGCATATGTTTGATTAATTAGTATATGAAATACCCCATTGAAACGTGGTTACTAATTTAAAATTTGTAATTTGTTCAATGATATCAATAATCAACTCCGCATAATCAATTACTATATATGATTTTCTTAGCTCAAAAAAAAAAAATAGATGTATAACAAAAGACCGTTAATAGGCTAATTATATATAAAGATAAGAAATTCTTCATTTAAATCTATTTTTTTCGATCATTTACTTATTGTTAATATCAATTTATTTTTTTCGATCATTTATTTATTGTTAATATCAATTGATCATTTACTTATTGTTAATAGCAATTGATTTTTTACACCACTTACGTTAATAAAAATGAATAAACATTCATCTGGTACTATTAAAAAGAATAAAAAAGCCAGAAATAAAAAGCAATTACAAAAGCTTAGTGCTAATCATGAAACCACTGTCTTTGCCGCTACTGCTGGTTTGGATCAAGCCATTCGATTGACCAAAGAGAAAGTTGCTAAAGTATGTACAGTACTTAAATTGATTAATTATTTATTAAAATTTTTTTTTTTTTTTGGAGTTTACATGATTACATAAATTCGAAATAATAGATCGCATCTGAATGCCATGAGCAAAATCGAAAATTTCGAGATCGTGAATTCGATTTATTTGTAAACATGGATGATTGTCTTTATAATAAGAAAAAAACGACGTTTGAAGCTACCAACATACAACGTATCAATAAAATTTGTAAAGAACCACAATTCTTTATTGATGGTGTTGAACCAAATGCTATTAAACAAGGAGGTGTTGGTGATTGTTGGTTTATAGCTTCATTGGCCGTCATTACAAATATTCCAAAATTATTAGAAACTATTTGTGTGGCTAGAGACGAAGAAGTTGGTGTTTACGGCTTTATTTTCTTTAAGGTTTGTATATTTATATAAACGTAAATTAAATGAACGTGAAAATAAAATAAAATAAAATAAAATAAATATATTTATATTTATATGATGGCGATTGGGTTTCAACCGTAGTTGATGATCAACTCTTTACATCCGGTAAAGATGATAAAAGAAATTTTCAATTAACTTTTGCGTAATTATTAATTTAAACTTTTTATTATTCATTATGAAGATTACGTATCACTTATTTTTAAATCACTATTCTTTATCACGGTTATTATTTTTTTTAAATTACTAGTCATTGTTCAAATGAAAACGAAACTTGGTTACCATTAATTGAAAAAGCTTATGCAAAAGTTCATGGTGATTACGAAAGTATTGTAGGAGGTTGGACTGGTGAAGGTACCATTAATATTTATATATTATCTCTTTTACTCTTACACTCGT